ATGTGTTGGCAGGGTGAGCCATATATTGGCATTTTAGAATAGATTCTAAAGTCAATATTTTCATAAAATCTGAAGTAGAAGTTAGCCATCTGATTATCATATTTGTGTTCAAAATCCCTTTATCTCAATTGTGCAGTAGAAAATAGGGGAAATTTCAGATCGCGTGCGGGAACAAATTGCGATAGAGATCCTAGCAATCGGTACACTACGAGCTCCCAGTATAACTGCTGCGCAAAAACATGTGTGTTCGGTTGACGCCAGCTATGCCAAGCTTTGACGGACCTCGCACAGGGTGTCACCTCCCTGGCCCCTCCCATGGTCTACTTTAAAGTGCCGGGTAGGGTACCTTGTCACGTCGACAACTATGTCCAGGAATTGGGTATGATAAGCAGATCCATGGTTTGTTTGCCTTTTCCCCAGCTTCCTCAAAGTATAGTAAATCACCGGTCCCCAGATAACGGCATTCCCGGGGAACCGGCTCTTCACCTAGATCCGGCTCGGCCCTGATTGCGCAATCGGTCTTACTTCATGAGGGGGTCCTAGCACCTCTCCCGAGCAACCAGCGATTAAATTTCAACATTATATACTTCCCAAGAACTGTAAGCCATCACCATAAATGAAAGAAAACTATAGGTGAACTCCAATTCATGGAATTCAATACTTCCAAGCATAATTAGTGTTTGCCTCTCAGTCAGATTGCCTCCCGGACCCCCCCACTACTAGATCCCCCCAGACTATCTCCACTGACCTCTAATCCTTCCATCTCCTCCCATAGGTCCTCAGCTTCATTAAGTGAAGGTAATCGTAGGGAGATGGGAGCCAATGTTGGTGAGTTGGGGGCAGAAATAGTGTTGAGCCTGGTCCGCTTTTGGGCAGTTTGAGAAGGACCAGGCTGAGTTGATTCTTTTTTTGCCCTTCGGGCTGCTTTCACAGCATCAACCTTTTCCCGCTGCTCTCGCAATTGAATAACTATTTCTGATGTCACTACGGTTGCTTGGGTTAGCTTGCGGCGGTCGGATGTCTTTCCCTTCTTCTCCTGCCCTACCAATTGCCGGTATTGGCGATAGGCTTCCTCCTCCACAGTTTTGTCGGCAATTGTTTGCTGGAAGCCTTCCGAAAGGCCAGCCAATAGTGCCTTAAGCTTCTGGGAAGAGGGGGTACTACGTGTGACCAGAGATATCGCGGTTCTGGTAGCGCGGCTTACTGCCCGTGGGGTTTTGGGAATGGTGATAGCCGAGGTCTCAGAATTTGAGACATTGAAATGCTTCTTCCGCTGTACTTGTCCTAAAGTACGACGTGGATTGAAGGGAAAAATTCCCACTGCCTCCCAGGCACTCAGAATATTCTTTGTTGTGAATGCAAACCTTCGGGCTGGCATTAAAATTCTACTGTTTTGTTAGTTTAATTTGATTAGATAGGCCAATTGAGGAAATACTAACGGTAGGAACTCTCCTTTGTTCATGCCCGCATGCCCCTTCCGAATAAACTCATCTAAGCCATTGCTATAGTGGCGTTGTAAGGGGCTAAAAAGGCCAACATCTAGGGGTTGAAGCAGGTGGGTGGAGTGGGCAGGCAAGCAAAGTGGAATAATCTTTGCATTTAAGCAAAAATCAAAAAACTCCCAATTAAAGTGGGAGGTATGGCCATCTAGTATTAGTAGCCGGTACTCACTGCCTGCTCTATTTAGGAGTTAGAAAAGATAAGACCAAGCAGCCTCGCTTATACTACTAGGAACTTCATATAAAAGACTTACCTTGCCCGTGTTTCAACATCAAATATTTCCCTTAGCCATCGGAGCCCCAGCTCCTCATTGCTCCACCCCTTCTCTGATACACCAAAGGTAGCCACATCACCCCTTTTCAACTTGGCATACCATCCCATATAGTGGGCCTTCCCTTTATTAATTATCATTGGGCGTAGTACCTGGCCATCACCAGATATGGCTTCAATTACTGTTACCCACTCTCTTGATCCATCCTGAGTTTTTTTAACTGAACCGGCACTCTTTTTACAGATGACTTTGCAACGCAAAGCCACCCCCATCATAAAACCCTTTTCATCCATGTTGTAAGTATTCGATTGCGATATGTTGTAAAATCTAATTAGATTTTGGAGCTAGATACATAATTAATAGTTATCATACATATAATAGCTTATTATCCTCATCATACCTTATTGAAATAGTCCTTAAAGACTACAGGATCATTTGCCAGAGCCCTCTGACGATCTAGGCGTGTGCTTAGCTTCGTGGCCAAGCTGGGATGTCGGTTGAGGAAGGGCGTTATCCAATTTTTCCCTAATGACCGGTCCTTCATCCGCCGGGCTACAATCGCCTCGGCCATACCCTTTACAAGCCCCATTCGAGCAGGGTGCCCCCACTCATCTAACCGTTCACACCATTGAACAAAAGATTTTTCTTCATATTCCGTCAAGACCTGCAGCTTGAGATGGCCTACCTCTCGGGAGACCCTACCTTTCAACCTTCCCCATAAGGTAGAGTAGGCAACCCCATGCTTCTCAGCAGAGGCGAGGATGGAGGGTTCATCACTATGCTGGTAGTGATTTATCGCTTTCTGGAGGCTTGCTTCGGCTTCGCTCTTCTTTCTTTCCTTGACAACTGGCATCGCTAAAGATTTGAAGTCTTTTTATTGATATTAGCGATCTCGAGACCCCTCGCTAAGATGAGCGGGGTAGGTATCAACAGCCGGCTTGGCACTGAGCCGGATCCCTGTGAAGAGCCGCATCACAGGGAAAGACGTTATACTAGACCACCGCGGTCAGCACACAAACCTATAGCCTGAGCTGAAAGCTTACCCCACGATACAAATATGATACCCCGAACGTTTTGCCAGGTATATTCCACTGCATCACAACCAGAAACCAAGCCCTAACAGTTTTTAGAAGCGCAAGGTACATCTCTCCGAAAAATATGCCACTATTGGAATCACGAGATTCACCCACTGTATCCATCCACCGCATGTGGCAGAGGTCTATCCTATAGCGGTGCTGAGCTAACGCTACCCATTCCGCAAGGCGACAATGTATTGTTGATCATGAAAGGCCTATCCAGATAGTATATGAGCTGAACAAGAACCATCGGTGGCCAACCAATGACCTTTTATGCCATCTAGTAACGGCCAAGCAAACTCCGAAGTATGGTAAGACCTATTTGGCAAGGGCAAAGACACTATTGGAGGCAATATATGTTAAAACGGAGATCTTTCCTATTGTTATTCACCACTGAGTGATGATTTATGTTTTCTTTTTCCTTTCCCGCTTTTCTCTCCGCTCCTAATCCCTTCTTGGTATACTTCAAGGGATATCTACATTCTACCGACGGTGGAGCATTGCCCCTTTCCCATGGTACCTAGCGCTCAACCTTTGGGATCCTTCGACCGAGGTGAACAACATCTCCTGTTTGTTTATTTGTTTATTTTTGTGTTTCTTCTTTCAAGATATATAAGGTACTGCTTTCGCATTTAGTTCGATTCACCAAGTTGGAAAACTCGTACACTTTCATACCTTATTCCGATCGTGACCACCACCCCTCGAAACAATATACATCCTGCGTTAGAGAAGTTCTGTGTAAGCTTTTGGAACTACATACCACCTTGAGTATTTGGAGTTGCTAGAGAGCATACCTACCTGTACATACTTTTATATTGAAAATGACTCTGATTTAAAGAATTGTTGCAGGTTTGGAATTTCTCAATCAAGGTACATCTAACCTACAGACTGAATTTTTAAGGTAGGCATTGTGGTATTGAATTCTGAACAGCTCAGAAAAGTAAGCCCGGAAACCTTGGCCGAGGCTTTACCAATGACCGCGGGGATTTGTATGGACCCACCAGGTGGTCAGCTCAGGCGTTCCCCCCCCAAAAATCTGGGTGAACCTGTCCTATTATATAATAGCGCTGAATCACGTGGGGAGCGGGTGAGGCAAATGAGGTAAGTTTTCCTCTAGATGACTGTCTACTGGTACCCGATGGAGGCCGCACAACCGTTCAGGAGGGCTTAGCGATTATATGGTGCAAGTGACAAGCAAAACCCGATTCTGAATGAGACAACCACACAACCACAAGAATGAATTTTAGTAAACGAAAAGCGCTGAGGTGAAGCTATTGGAAAGGAGAAGAGGCTAGGGCTTTTGGTTTTTTAATCAAGGGCTGTTGAAAAATGTGATTCAAGATTAAAAAGTGAAGATTTCGATGAGAGTGAAACAAGTGACAAAGTCTACACTGTACTGTGCTGTAATATACTGTGGAGTAGATATGAGTAGGGCCAAATAGAAAACTATGAGCTGAAGACAAAGGAATACAAGTCCACGGAACAGTTATTTGAGGTTAGCTTTGTCAAATCCATTCCCCTCTATCCTGGTTAAGGAGTCCCAATCCTTATAGGGTATAGAACTTGGCATTTCGCGCCATTACCCGGATCGGTTGCAATGGGTTTCACCGGAATTCCTGTTTCATCGGAGGTCCCGCCTTTAGATGCTTTGCACCATACCCACGAAGATGGTCTGGCGGGTTTATCTGGAGCCTTCTAGAGCGTTTGATCCCTGCCGGGGCCTGACCTCCGGAGCAACGTCTCACCCGACAGTCTAAGATGAGGAATTTGGAGGGTTGGAAATTAGATATACACTTTTCCATGACGTGACCGTTCAGCTATGGTATAAACATCTTTACCGCCTTGGGCTCGCATTAGCTCCACTGGCGTATCTAGGTTGCCGGAACGGCTGCCGGGGCCGCAAAACACCTGGTAGGATCTCATCTGTACATCTTCATTTCATAAGCACTTCTCAAGCAATCTGGATCCAACAAATATAGCGCGTTTTGACTTATGAACGTCCTGTACCACAAAAAATACTCTGCGTAGTTTCTGGAACATCCGATGATATTCAAGAACGCTACCAAGTGATGGGCCCAAAGTGCGCTAAGGCAACAACTCTTTGTTTATTAATATTATGGCGAATTTCTGCAATCAATCTCCACAAGCCGAACACACACAGTCGATTCGCCCATTTGAGGAACTCATTGAACGCACAACAGTCATGTCTCGCAAGTCAGGAAGAAAGAAGCGTTACAGTGGGGGTGGAAAGGCATCGGTGAGGTCGCGGGGCTCGATGTCTCAAAATGATAACCGGTGTGATAGCAAAACATGCGATGCGATACTGGTCGCAAGATCCCAAGGTGAGAGCGAGGACGAAATGAAGAGGGGCGCTAAAGATGCACTTGGACAAGCACTGCAAGAGGAGGAACTTCACCTTAAGGAAATGAGGGGTGAGTTTTTCGTTCCTAATGACCGCGGTCTCGGCCTTGCCGGTTTACCAGCGCTCCTCCGGGCAGTTGAAGAGAGGTTCATTTCCGTGCAAGAGGAGATCGTCACAATGCGCAGAGAGATGGTTTCCCGAGAACAGACATTCACCAATGAGATTACGGAACTGAGGGTTCTATCGCACGGCTACCTCCTAGTCCGAGATCGGTTCATCGCCACCTTTAGGAGGGACAAACTCAATCGTCGTAATCGCCGAGACACCAAAGTCATTGCGAAAGGAAACATAACTGCACATGGCGGCGATGCCACCGTTGATGCCACGCTCTATAGCATCCCAGGAGGACCGGTTAGGAGACAGGATGCAGGCACCTTTGTGCAGCTTTATGGGTTGCACCCTCATCTTGTATCTGAAATTAGTGAGTAATATCCACTATTCTAATAAATCCTTTGCCTAACACGCTCAGAACACCAACCGACGATTGCGGTCCTCAACACTCATGCCGGGGTAATTGCATCAGGGCTCAAAAAGGGCAGTCCAGAATTCTATAACTCATTTAACCGGTTCATCACAAGCCTGAAATTTTCAGAATATGACCAAAGGTATTTGGATAATGGAGAACATCCAGATTTGACCTCCGCATACTGGGCATTTGTAAAATGTCCTAAATATGATGATGATAAAGTTCCTGCAGTTGTGGGTTGAGTATGTTAGTATGCGTTTGTACTTGGATCGCTGTAGGTTGTTTGCATGGAACAGGTTAAGGTAAAACTTGTGAGGATAGAGGGGCTGAGGTAATGGGAATTTGTTTGAAGGTTATCTGGTGTAGCTCAATGTTTACTGTAAGGTAAAAACAGCAACTACAGTCTGTGATGACGGACCCAATCCCAATTCTACCCTCAGGGTGAAAGATGCAAATTATTTCTGTGCCCTACTGTAGTTTACAGACATCAAAGATATTGCAGGACGCTTTTCGGCCTGGAGTAAAATTGCCTCTCCCAACCTCCCCAGGAGGCCGACGCAGCAAAGAGATGGGAAATCCTCTGCAATCTTTCAATACCCATAAAACCTGTCCTCGTTTTCTGAAGTATTAACATTCCTGACTGAATGTGATATTCATGCACGTTTGGAAGGTCTTTCAGGGTTCGTATAGGAATCTCATTGTTTTCACAATGTCTACTTTATATCCAGTATCTCCCCGGACAAGCCTCTGCCTATGCTTATATACATTGTGGAACTCCGGCTTCCCCACTCCTCCCTTCTGCTGGTTTGCTCACCTCATATCCGGTAATCAAGTGAACCCCGCTTTCCCCTCGTTTCCTTTGTCCCTCTATGCTTCTCTTCTTCCCCTATTAATCCGGGCCCCTGACCAATTACTTATCCTCATTGACTAGATGCTTTTGTGATTTGTACCTGATCGTTTCTCGTTCTGGGTACCGGGAGTCTCTCTTTTTCGCTGGTGTCAATATTTCGTATTCCGAGTTTCCTAACAATATCTTCCTTATTCTTTTTCTTCTTGTCCGGTCACCATATGCTCTTATATACACTGATAACAATGAAGAATTTCTTCCAGTTTCTGAGCATAACCCAGGTGACCCCGCTTTTACCCCTCTTCTTAACGTTTCGTTGGACTTCTCCCAACTTCTTTTTACCCCGCTCCTGTCAACCAATCCTATGTCCTCCAATCCCCACATGCTACAAGTTTCCTTGTCTCCCAACCGTGCTTCCTAGTACATAAGCCTTTTTGTAGAAGCTCCAGAACCTTCTGAATCACTGACAAATGAACAACTCATAAGCATTACAAAGGAAAACAATTCTAGCTCCGGAGAGATCTCCAATACCCCGCAATTGTGGGGGTGATAACGATAGGACTATTACTGTGGGTACCGGTGATTTACAATAGATGCTACATAGTATTCTCTTTAATCTGGTTGAACGGCCCTTCTACATTTATCCATAGCATCCTCGAGAACCTTCTATCTCTCTTACATACTATTGTCTAAGCTTGAAAAGTGAAAACAACCGTAATTCGGTAAAATTTCGTCCTCCCTCCAGAATTTCTTTCTTAAACTCCAATTCCTTCTGTGAGTCCTGGTGATCAATGAGGGCCCGGGTTATTTACAACAAAAAGTACTAGGTGAAAGTACAAGAAATTACATATTGTAAGTATCGGGGGTTCGAGAAGCTTGATTTTTTGGAAATAAATTTGGAGAGTATGTACAGTTTCACGAAGATGGTGAGGACAACAAATTCAGGTTTTTCACATGAAATCTGTAATATTAGAATCCCCTGGCTATACCAACAACCTCTGGCATTTTTTGACTAGGCTCCAGTTTAGGATACCTGTTTGAAACGAAGAAAAATACTATATCTTCTTGTCAGGTTGCAGATAGCTGTGTTTGATTCTGTTATTGGTTGCGTGAAAGGTGGTTTTGTTGTGGAACTGTGTTCAAGACAGAATATCCGGGATGCTGGTACCAACACAGATTGTACCCCAACACCACAACCAGAATGACGTTATAACAATATTTATTGAGTAGTAGCTCAAGCCTTCAGGCATGATGCATTGTCATGGCGTGTGAATTTTAAATCCCATATAGAGACAGCCAACTCGACAAGCCAGCAAGGCAAGCCGCAAGGATAACGAAGGTAGGGAAAGCAACCCCGTAATATGACTGCTATTGATGCTGCCACTCAATGGATGAGTACAGAGTAATCACTGTGGGTACAGAAAATGGTCAGTTGGGTGACTAGTCTGCTAGTGGACGGATATACCTCAGTTTTGTGATTGCTCCCGATGATAGCGGAGTTGACAAAACAACCCATTAGCTCTATATCTGAAGACCCTTCGGGTTGCAGAAATTACAGTTTACAATATTCTTCACTGGCTAAGAACAGGTTCTACCCTAATTCAACTTTAGACGTCGGTTTCTCCGTTCTTCGCAAAAGCGACATATAAACCGCCCAGCCCGTACTGAAAAGAACACATCGGAGTCTGAAAACCAAACACACAACATGGTTAAGGTTCACCTACTTACAAATCCGGGAGGCAATCAACACGATGAAGATGTAAAAGCATTGTGAATAAGTCTGTACAATGCGATCAATGTATGAAACGAGAAATAAAAAAAAAAACCCAAGTAAAAGTGTCAAATGTAGCTACCGGTTTCCATATTTGGTATCTTCTCATTTGCTACTCTATAATGTTATTTACGGGGAAGCGGCTCTTCACCGGGAGGTCGGTCACTGCTGGGAACTAGTAGAAAATGAAATAGGGGTTTAAGAAGGGAAGACTGTCAACCATGTGGCACAGCGAAATGCAACAATGGCTGTACAGGATAATTGTCAAGTCTCTGAGTGATTGACTATGAAGAGGTATCAATAATATAAGATATAGGATGACACATTAATTAAATACAACAGTTTGAGAGTCTGAAACTCTACATGGCTGCCATATATTTTTGTAACATTCTCTTTAAAGTCTAGTATGCCACAAGCAATTGCATCCTTGTATACTTTCAAGTTCATCATTCTCTAAGTATGTACTCAGACCTGTGAAATCAAAGTTTGCTTTACTGGATTCAGGCATTCAGGTACCATTTTATCCAATGCTTAAATATTGGATCCACATCTTCAACTAGGATACTTCTTTGTAGTCCTCCAATAGTTGGTAATAAAATTTAGTACACAATAATATTTCAGGAAAAAAACCAACCAGGTATTCTTTCTATGCCACCTCTTCCTCTAAGTGACTTCTTTGAGCTTTAAAATCTGGCTCTTTCACAATCAATACTCTTACACAATAAGTATTTCCCTTCAGGAAGCCTTATTCTTTTTTCTATCTGGCCTGTAACATTGTACTTGTAATTCTAGTCTGTATAGTCCTCTCTCTGGTAGGTCCATCTAGAGTTCTTTTCTGAAACCATTAGGTCTAACTGTTGGCTGACTGTCTCTAGTTAAAGAATTTATACCAGGCTGAAACTGTACTTACCCTTCTCTTGAACATACATTTATAGTACTAGCTCTTAATACATTCTTTATAGAAGCTAAATGACTGGTAGTATTGTCAAACAGAAAAAGAGCTTGGCAATCTGAGTCTAGAAATACAACCTGGAAGATGAGAATTACAAGCTTTGAAACCTGGTCAACCAGTTGATCACCATACCACAATGTATCTCCATCATATTCAATGGTGCAGGAACCAATATTTCAATCCAGATGCTTTGGGCCCTCATGTTGTGTTCCATATTCTGGGTCAAGATTGAGGTCTTTACCTTTAGGAACCCCTAGATGCCAACTAGTAGTAAGGAGATCTGATACCATGATACTCCTTATATATCAATTCTACTACAGTAGAATGTCATTATCTTTTATCCAGATCGTAGCCTGCTCCTTGATGGAATTAAATGGTCTCTCACCATGGACAATCAGTCCAATTGACTTTATACAAACTAGAAGATTTGTTGAACATACCACCCAAAGCACTTCATTGCTATTCCTGGCAATCAGCTCCTGATGTACAATCTGGTTCTGAAGTGTCTTTAGAGAGGGGAAGAAATTCTCCTGCCAGTACTTGACAATATCAGTCCACTTATATCTGTCCTTGTACACTCCTTTTCTCATATCCTGGAATCAGTAGATCATTTTTTACAACCCTTTTACAGGTCTATCACTGCTGAAACTATTCTGAACCTCCTGTCTCTTGAGTCAATTGGGCCAATTGGGCTTCAATTTCTCTGGCATAGGATAATGGAGGATTGCTAACTTGCACTGTTGTTTGAATAGTAGTATTGCTGTCTGCCAATCTGATAAAATGTAACGGACAGGGTCTGAGGGTTGGGTAGCCCAAGACACACCACAATTAGGGCAGGGAGGGGTTCCAGAGATGAGGTCTGGGTGCGAGGGTACAATTGAAGCAAGTTGTACAAGGCTCGGGCTTCAGAGATTTGAGAGGATGCGAGAGAAAAGACAATGTAATTCCTAGGTACAGGTGTCCAGATTCAATCTAAGTTTTATTTATACTAGTCATACTAAAACATGGCATATAATCTAGTCTCCCTCTGGTCAGAAGTAAGCAGGAGCCAGATATTAACTAAATACCAGATACTGAACCTCCAGCACCACACCGTTAACCACTCCACTGAGCGAGCACTAACACCAAAGCTAAAGTACAAGTGCATCAAGAGTTCGGCACCTACCTGCACCACCTAGCCAGGCCACAGGAAGTCCAGCACAAACAAAAATTCCACTGCCAGCCACCGCACTGCTCTGGTCTCGCACCAAAATTTTCCATTACATCATAATAAAAGAAATCCACCACGATCAACCCCACCTGGTACCCAAGAAAGCGTTCCAGTACTTGTGCCTGAAGGGGTATGACAGAGGGGCGGTACCATTACAAATAAAAGCGTAATCGGTGCGGCACGTGACTAAATGCATGAGGTCACGTGTTCGACTCCAGGCCCTGCCATACTTAGTGTAACCAGATCATATTACCGCACAGAACGATGAGGGAGTTATGCACCCTGCTCTGCATAGTGACGAGGTATGCGACCACGGGGCTTTCACTGGAAAATATAAAACGAGCTCCACTCTAGAAGATGAGACTCAGTTGGTTCCAATTGGTTCATGAGTTCAAGAGCTACGACCACTGCAAGTCTATACGCTATTACAGAAAGTAATACGCAGGCCCCCTGAAGCTCGCATGAACTAGAGTTATCTGGAAGACTAGTTCATGATTGGTCAATAACAACTCACTAGTTGAGTTAGTTATGTTCATCATGTACACTAAGCTATGCACATAGAAGAGTTATTGATAAGTCCTTTGCCGGAGCTGATCACTTCACTAAGGAAGAGAGCAGGGAAGTTAGTTTTCAGAGTCAAATGGTATTTGTACCTCATAGACACTGAACTGTTAACGTCATTCCCGGGGAAGTGGCTCATCACCGGGATGTGCCTCACCCAGGGCAACCAGTAGAAAATGAAATACATCTTTGATTATATCTACAAATAATTATGTGACCACCATGAAATCTTATCAGTAAGTACTTTGGAATATGGAGGATT